AGGTGGGGGGGGGGGGGACATTAACATGTTCTTATGCACAGTAGAATCATAAATGGGCTGATTCATCGATGTCATGCTCATAACTGCGCCTGAACTGCAACAAGGAACTGCTGCTTTTTCTTTCCTAATCCTTACTTAACTATCGTCATTTCCCCTCTACTTCTTCTGTATGCTTGTCACACTCTTGTGACCCGTTATTTCCTGAGGTGCCTTGATAGTCACAGCAGACTCTGTGCTATTGAAGTTGAAGCAAGAGAGGTGAACAGAGTAAGTCTGATTCCCTGTAAGGGCTTCTCTGTTGACATCCATCCATCTCTTGGCGCTCATATGACCTTATGCAGTTGCGAGCGCCGTAAAACCTCTACTAAAACAAACAAATATTATGTATTATTATCTTCCATTCATGCCAAAATCGTTGACTGTGACCCTGTCTCGTCACTTTCTCGCCCACAAACTCATCGTGTGGGTGGCTGGCGGGTGCTCTGGTTTGGTTTGCTCCTTTTTTTCTTATCAAACATCAATCGTCATATCTATCTTCCTACTTTTCTTTGCATGTTACTCTCTATTAGAAACACCTCTAATCTTTGGCTCTTGTTTTATTATATTTTATAATCTATTTGTGTTAAGTGCCGTAAAACTTTTACAGAGACTCAAGACTAAGAGATAAAATTCGACTGCTCATAATATGGCCTTCTGCAGTTGCGAGCGCTATAAAACACCTGCAAAAACAAAGAGATAAAATGCTTTTACTGCCACGTTTTGACTGTGTGCTTCTGCTTGCTCCGGTCTCCTTCTTACCTGTCAGGCATCTATCGTCCTTGTCTCCCCTACTTCTGTGTGTGTGTGTGTGTGTGTGTGTGTGTGTGTGTGTGTGTGTATGTATGTATGCATACATGGTATGCATGTGTGTGTGTGTGTGTGTGTGTGTGTGTGTGTGTGTGTGTGTGTGTGTGTGTGTGTGTGTGTGTGTGTGTGTGTGTGTGTGTGAAGCGAAACACTTTCAATTGGTTGGCGTTTCTGCATGTCTTGCTTTTTTTCCATGCACTCTATGATTGTTATCGTGTCGATGTCCTTCTTTTCATCCAAACAACAGGCCTTATACCCCAGTTGTTTTGTTCCACTAATCCGCTTCTGAATTTTTCCTTTATACCCGAGCCGTCGAGGTGCCTGCTCGTTAGCTTAAGACGGCGTCATAATTGGGTTTAATGCTATTAACTTCTCCACCCGAATTACTCTCCAATTTGTGGTTTATTGCCCATTGGGTGTCGGCTTTTACCCATAGTGCCAACGCTTGTTTTATGAAACATATTAAATCGCAGGCTCTACAACCTGCGTCATGGGTTTTTTTTTTTCTTTTTTATCTTTTTTTGTTGGTTTTGGGGTGGGTTTTTTGTTTTTTTTTCTTTGGGAGGGGGGGGGGGGGCTTAGGAGATCTTGGCGCTGAACTAATCACACACTAATTGCTGAACTGGCGTTGGTCGCAAACTAACTTCTTGAAAGCGCTTAGGGAATACTGTTGACGTAGAGCTTGCGTTCTGCTCCATATATATAAATAAGTAAATACATATGTAAATACACATAGACCTAAATAGATTCCCCTTTTACTTTTACTTTAATTGATCCACATGGGGAGATTTGGTTTACAATAGCGTTCATACGCTTACATAGGAGAGAGAAATGGGACATACAATAATACACCAAAGTAACTTAATCCATATCATAATATAATACTATTATGCTACTTGTGATCGCCATTGTGCAGCGCCCTGTTTTTGAGCAAGGGATATCGTGCTTTCGATAGAACACACCTTAGTGGCCGCCCAGCAAAACGTTGTATCTCTGGCTTATGCTTGATATTGTGAACCTGAACTCGCGAACCACTCGCCCACTGGAGCCGAATAGAGAGAAGGCTTTGTAGAGCTTCTTTTTTCAGCTCTCAAAGTATTATAAATACGCCCTTACTCGAAATTTTGAATGTCAGCACCTGTAGTGTAATCTTTAAGAGACTGCTCAACCACGCAAAAGACATTACTTCGACCTCCTGCATTTGGGAGGGTTTTTTTATCGACGATTCGCTACCTTAGAATTACAAAGTTTTATCTGACATTTTTTGGCCGTTTTGAGTTACTAAGACCATGAGGTTGGAAATCAAAATATCATCTGCTCTATCAAAATCGTAGGATTATTTTGAGTCGTTATCAAGATATTCAAAGAATTGCTTTCGAAGCCGCTTGAAATAATTGTGAAACTCAATTTTTTTAATTCTCACATTTCTCAAAACTAGGTACTGAGCAGATAGAATGTTGTAATTATGAAGTAGCGAATTTCCTTCAGTCTGCCCGGATATTGTACATGTAGGTCTATCCGATTCAGCGTGGGTTAGACCTGACAGGCAAGATCGAAGCACCCCGTTTCTTAAATGATCAAAACTGTATATGGAGGCCCAACACATTACAATTTAAAGTTTAATTGCAATACTTCCTAGAACATTTATGGTTGGTGCGGATGGTATGTGGCAACTCCTGTTTTTTTTTATAACCCCTCATTTATTGCTGTCCGACCAGCTTATTTTGTTGTTTAGTAAGCGTAGTAAGCGTTTTACGGCACTTGCCACACAATTATTGCATATAAATGCCGAAGACTAAAGTTGTTACAAGAGAATAACAAACACAAAAAAGAAGGAGGCGAGATAACGGCAACATATTGTTTGATTTAATGTGCAGCTTCTCTTCCCTCAAACCCGCAGTGCAGACCCACCATAAGCTTCAACCAACTCGTTTCTGGCACGTGGAGTCCACTTTCTTTCTCGATCATCGTGTTGGTGGTCTTGTGGATTTTAAGTTAAGGACGCCTGTATGGGAGGTCCTTTACTTCTTTTTCCCTGTATTTCTGTCTGTTTGTCCTGTTCCTTCTCGGCACATGGGTGGTTGGCGTGTGCTCTGGTGTGATTTACTCCTTCTTTCCTGTCAAACATCTATCTTCTGTATCGCTCCTCCTTCTTTTTTCTGTTTGTTACTCTCTTATAAACCCTCTTATATTCGGCAATTTTATGTCCTAATAATGTTGAAAGTGCTATAAAATGTTCACTATTAAAAACTCCTCGGCACTAAAGGACGTATTGAGTCGATGCATTTCTCTCTCAACATCATTTCGCTGCAGAGTTCTGGTTTAGCTAAATTTAACTCTAACCACTTTGTTCCTCCTCAGCTCACTTGCAGAAGCCGGCCCGGGCTAAAGTCAGAGTCCCTAAGTCAACGGCCTGGAGGTCTGACAATGAGGTAATTATTTTCCTTGCCTATACTTGTATTCATGTATGTAGGAAAACACTAAAGAGGCAAGGGTAGACCAAGAATAATTAACATAATGGACTTGAACGGTTAGCTGACATGAAAATGCCAGGCTTCTGTTGTTGGGTTGCTGTTGTTGGTTGTTTTTGTTTGTTTGTGTCTTGTTTTGTTTGTTTTGTTGTTGTTTTTTTGTTTGTTTGTTGTTGTTGTTTTTTTGTTTTTTGTTGTGTTTTTTGTTGTTGTTGTTTTTTTTGTTGTTGTTGTTGTTGTTTTTTTTTGGGGGGGGGGGGTTCTAGTATCCGGGTAGAGAACTGAGTGGCAAAACATGGTAGCCGATGTCTGTTTCGAATCTGGCTTTTGAAGACGAAGATGTATACATATGTATGAAAAGTATGCTCAATGTGTGTCTTGCCAAAAAGTAAAAGGCATAGTATGGTGGCATTTGGGGACGACATGATCCTTCGAAGGCCGGTCACTAGGGACTCGATATCATACATCAAAGCCCACAAGTCCCTGAGACAAAGCCACAGATAAGTGCATGTACCGTAATGTGCTACGTCTTAGTGATTGGACAATTGTATGGGATACTGCACTGACTCAAATCTTTATAACAAACAATTGTAATGTCATATAACCACAATGAACGCTCTTTGTCCCTGGTATCTGAAGTCATATCATGTTGCAATAATTACTATTATAATGAAAGATAAGACAACAAATGGCCTAGATTAAAAGTCAAACTGAGGCATAGGCTACAAAATATCCAAGTAAACTAATAAAAGTAAAAGAAAGCAGAATTTTTTAGGATTGAAAAGTATGGGCCAGTACGTTTGATATTCACACATCTCATACCGTTCTCCGATCGTATAGATCTCACTAATCGGATACATGTACACCCCAGTTTCACAAGCCCAGTCTCAGTCAGTGTCTGCCTCATCCCCTCGCCGTGGCACTTCCAGCTTTGATTACTAATTCCTCTTAGCACGTGACATTTATCTTTCCGCCTCACAACGTCACTTCCTGTCGCCATGGTAGCTTCCTGTGAGACGACCCTGGCCAGGACATCCCAGATGAGTGTCACACGCGCGAATAAACTTCAAAGAGCTCGGACTATCACTGAAGTTCTAGAGGATCAATCCGTCGGCATAAGTAAGGGACGGCTATCTTTCTGGCGAGTCTTCTGGTCGAATAGCTAAGCTGACCAGAGTTCATCGACGTGACAAGCCGAGATTTTACTGCCACTTGTCATGTGATGGGGTGTTTCAGGCTGAGCCTGAGGGAGAGAGATGGCCCATCTGGCAACACGCTGTTTTTCCCGGGTCACCTGAACGTCGTGACTCCTTAGTAATTAGTAAGTCACGGAGCTACTCTGAAAGAGGATTATACCAGCCATAGATCTCAAGAACTTGCACAACTATTGACTGGCATACGTAAACAGTTTGTTTCAAAGGTTCTGGTGAAAAGCCAGTTTTATATACATGTAGTAGCAATCGTATATCCTCACGAGTGCTGTACACAGTCTCGACTTCGTCTCCAGATTGAACTCGATAAGAAACTTTGTTACCCAAACTAATTTTAATGGTACTTACTTTACTTTTTCATCCTCTCTTGCCGTTAAGCGTCGAGGGGAGATGCAGTTTTCTGTGGTAGGCCAGCTCCGCAGCTCTTTCAGTTGTGATGTTATGTTTTCTTAGAGTTTCCTTGACCCCCTCGATCCACCTTTTGCGTGGCCTTCCTCTTCCTTTATAGCTTGAGTGCTTGGTGTTGTAGGCTCTCAAGGTTGGCTGGTCAGGTGACATGCGTAACAGGTGGCCAAACCATTTTATCCTCTGTCTTTCTATGTAACGCAGGCAGGACACAGTGCCGATAGCTGCTCCTACTTCTTCATTTCTCTGCCTGTCTCGTCTTGTGATGTTAAAGGTTTTGCGGAGACATTTCATTTCGCATGCGGTGATTTTGCTTTCATGAGTTTTGCTTAAGGTCCAGGTCTGGCACTGATAACATAATGTTGGTATGAATATTGAGGTGATAAGCTGTCTCTTTGTGTCCATGGAGATGTTTGGATGAGATAGAAGGGGTGCGAGCTGGTAGGTGACAGCGTTGGCTTTTTGAGTTCGCATTTCTATTTCTCTGTCTCTGTTTAATGGTGCTTCCCGAAAAAGTTGGAGTGGAAGTGCACCAAGCTTGGCATGGCTACCTTGAATACTTTCGGTTTTATGAGATTGAGAAACTTATTTATGAAATGGATCACGTAGTTTCACTAAAGATAATCTTTCCTCATCTTTTGGTTCAGAATGTGGAACTTGCTTCTGATGTTCCCCAATCCCCAGTGCAAAAGCAAATAATAAATTATGACAGTACATTTCAAGTGTTGTGGGTTTGTGTGTGTGTGTGTGTGTGTGTGTGTGTGTGTGTGTGTGTGTGTGTGTGTGTGTGTGTGTGTGTGTGTGTGTGTGTGTGTGTGTGTGTGTGTGTGTATACACATATGTGTTGTGTGTGAGAAAGAGGGAGAGAAAGAAAGAAAGAAAGAAAGAGAGAGAGAGAGAGAGAGAGAGAGAGAGAGAGAGAGAGAGAGAGAGAGAGAGAGAGGGGGGGGGGTCATGGTGGAAGGGGGGGGGTGCATATATGCGTGTGTGAGTGTTTAGAGGGATAATCAGAGATAATATCGTGTGTCTGGGGCAGTGAATGAAGGTTCAGAAACTAGAATCACTGGAAAAAGCTGCGTCGAGTGAAGCGTAAACTGGTTATCCCTCTCGGTGTCTCTGAGCGTTGTGTGTCTTGGGCTAATAGGATCGAGAACCCCACGAAGACGATCTACTATGCTCAACGAATGGTTTTCGTTGGAAAATTAAAACCATTAATAAGTAGAATGCAGTTTTGAAGAGGATAGCTATTGATTTGAGAAAAAAAATGTACTTGAGGTTGCAAAATGTAAGAAAGAAATATGTTCAATAAAGCCGGAAGAGGAAGAAGAGGTTAATGAGGTGCTTTTAATGTGGATAATTTGTGTTTGTGTGTGTGTGTGTGTGTGTGTGTGTGTGTGTGTGTGTGTGTGTGTGTGTGTGTGTGTGTGCGTGCGTGCATTTTGGTGAGGAGTTGTGTGTTCACGTATGCGTGTCTCTGCACGTGTATCTTTGTATGTGTGGCTCTGTGTCTCTGTGTAATTATGAAGGTTTGAAGAACTTTGTGAACCTACGCATGTGTGTTCTCTCATATGATAAATGCACGAAGGCTATGTGTATGTGTGTGTGTGTGTGTGTGTGTGTGTGTGTGTGTGTGTGTGTGTGTGTGTGTGTGTATGTATGTACACATGCATGTGCCAGTTTGTTGTTGTTGGGGGTTTTTTAATTCAAGTGTTGGCACAATGACATAACAAGGCGCCTGTGATGTTGCTCGGCTCTTTACTTACTTACTTACTTTTAATTTCAATTTTCCATCCTCTGTTGCTGTTAAACGTTGAGGGGAGATGCAGTCTTCTGTGGTAGGCCAGCTCTGCAACTCTTTCAGTTGTAATATTATATGTTTTCTCAGGGTTTCTTTGACACCCTCGATCCACCTTTTGCGTGGCCTTCCTCTTCCTTTATAGCCTGAGTGCTTGGTGTTGTAGGCTCTCGAGGCTGGCTGGCCAGGTGACATACGTAACAGGTGGCCAAGCCATTTTATTCTCTGTCTCTCTATGTAATTCAGGCTCTTTGCTGCTACTACATGAAGAAAACATGGGTTCAGTTCCCAAATTTGGGAGATTGTTTGTTTGCTTTGTTGCTGGGTTTTGGGTTTTTTTAAATCGAGTATCTCCGTCTGGTCGTTGGGATGTTGTATCTATCTCAACCTGGGCTGGCCCTGACACCCCAGGTCGCTGTAGCCAGCCTCCTAAATGATAGGAATTGTAATGCATTTACAATAGCCTTGGCGTTTTCTTCACTGCGTTTCTTTTGGGGTTTTTTCACCTTACAGCTTGTGGAAGAAGTGAGAGAGAAGCTGGCCACAGGCTACGAGGGCGTACGACAGATGTTCAAGGCTAAAGACCCGTATGGTGACTCCATTGTGACGAGGTGAGCACTCTCACTTTCCATAGACTTGTTGGACAATTATTATCGTAGACCGTGCACTTTTACTTAATTCCTGTTCATTATGGAGTACACAATATGGCTCGATCTGAGCCCGAGAAGAAAG